AGTTATCTGGAGTTCAGACTTGAGACAGATAGTGGTGCAATAATTGAGGGAAGTGGTGTTGTGTGCACTTGGATCTGGGAAGTACTGTTGATAGCGTGGGGGAGGGTTCAGAGTTCAGGGGCACAGTGGAGGGACCTCTCCTTTCCTTCAGAAATGGCAGTCACTAGCCCTAATCACGCACTTACGGGAAACCCCAAACCTTTCTGCAGCTTTACTCTCTTCCCTTTTCGTGTGCTTTGCCTGCAACGACGTCGTCTCGTTCTACAGTCTCAGAGGGAGCCAGCCAAGAAACCCCAACGGCTTTCCTTTACCCGGGCATTGTTTGTTTCGTTCGTTCGAGTAATTACTAAGCAGTCACACGACTGTGATCGTCGGCTCTTGGAGTTAGAAATGTTGCGTCTTGGGCACAAAGTTTCTGCTCGGATATGCACTTCAAATCAATGCCACTGTGAAAGGATCCCAATAACTTTAGAAGGAGTTCTCTACAGTAAAGCTCTAAATATTTTAGAATTAAAGTACATCTAGCACTTAGAAATATTTTTTTTAGGTGTATTTTGTGGTACATTCAGCACTTCAAAATATTTTTTAAGAGAACCCAACATCCTAAAATATTTTTTAGCATAAAAAAATATTTTCTGGTATTAGACGTAACTAAAAAAAACTTTAAAATACTAAATATACTAAAAAATATTTTAAGATACTAGACATAACAAAAAATAATTCAAAGTGTTATATATATCATAAAATATTTTAAGATATTAAATGTATCTGTAAAAATATTTTGGGACGGTGAATATTATTTATCCAATATTTTATACTAACGGTTGAAAGAGACTTTGAACTAAGTAACGCAGATGGTAGTAATTCTAAAATTGAAGAGCCGGGACAGACTCATCTATCGACTATCGTGCAGACATGGAATGACTTTTTTTTACCGCCTCTTGTAATAACTGAAGAGGCAGTCTGGCTGATTAATTAACCCTACCATATCTCTCACATCGCATTTAGGATAGGGATTCTAGTCAAAGTTGCCTTGGAGATACTCCTCATAAATGATCCAAACAAAGATTTGATCGTTTGAATCTCTTCTTTCGTAGGAGCGCATTCCAACATTATCTACCCTAGGCTAAATTTTAGTTAGAATTTGAAAGAATTACAATTAAGTCTCATTTAAAAGAATTAAATAAAAATTTTTTAAAATTATAAAATTATTCTGAGTCTAAAAATCTTTTTGTAATAAATTTTATTTGTTTAATTACCAAATTATTTTTTTTTTTTTAAAATATATTGACAACTGAAAGAGCAGTGGTTGATAACTTAGAATATAAGATTGACAATTATCACGGCTGGATTGACAACTATCCTTTGAGACTTCAGAATAATTTCATGATTTCAAAAGATTTTTTTTATTTAATTTCTTTAGATGGGATCTAATTGTAATTTTCTCTAGAAATTTAGTACTACCTTGCAACGTACTAATGGTCAGTCTCATGTTCGTGTGCGTTACTTTTTCGGTGAGATGGGCGGCTTTAGCTTTAGCGAATCCTAGGTCGTCTTAGTTTATACAAAGGGCCATGATTTTCTTCCATTATTAACGGCTGAGGTTTAAGATAAATTTGAGGATATCACTACACAGTGAGTGCAAATTATTGTATCCTGTCATTTCCAAAAGATTTGTTAGATTGAGTTTTTCTTATGTTGCTTGAAAAAGATAGGTCCCCCCCTTCCACTTCTGTCGGCCTTCCCTTGATAACTACAGCCAATTATTTTCGGCAAATTAATCCAAGAGGGAAAAAATAGGAAGTTATGGCTTTGATTTGATTAGACTGCGCACTGATTAACTGCATCGGAATATGAGTACGGAAAATTCAGACTTTATGACGTGTTGAAAGAAAAAACAAATAGTTTCATGTTACCCTTCGCATAAAATTTAAAAGTCCCTTGAAATCTTTATATTGCATGTATTGATATTTTTCAACTAAAGGTTTTATTATTATTTTAGGCGTTACGATCCATAGATTCTCCTAAATAGTGAGTGGGTATCAAAATCCTCCTAGTATTCTGAGATCTAAATCGTATTAATTTTGTTTTTCAAATATTATTTTATCTGTGATGTGAGTCCATCGTGTGCACATCAGCTGAGCCTTCCATGTATATAGAATATATGAATCTTTCTGAATAATCACCGGATACGTGAAATTTGCTGGTAAATTAAATAATATTACTGTCAACTTGTGAAATGTGTGTTTGTGATTGATATATAAAATATATGAATTGTGCGAGATGATTGACGATGTAAAAACTATTCCGGCTCGTTGATTGGAAGTCGGGCTTTCAAAAGCTCACCTGCAAGCATATATAAACATTAAGAGCGCGATTGATTTTCTATTGACAAATGTTGGAGTTAGGACTATAAACGTTTTGGGCGGAAACAGTTGGTTTTCAACTAGAAATCAAATATGTACTTCCTTTTATACTAATTATAAGGTTTCATTTATAGATTGAACGATATATTAAATTATGAATATTAATGGGAATTAAAATTTGCATGAATGCACAAAACACGCAAAAACAATAAAAACCTATATCGACATCGATGATGAATAATAGGTGTACGTAATTGCACGGTAAGTAGTTTTTCTTTCTTAAAATTTATTGTTTGAGTTTTAAACGGCAAAATATAAACGAGGTTTTTTTTTTTTTTTTAACCATCTTCGGCTTGATAAAGTGCCGTATCTTTCTTTGGATCATGAACTGCCCTACCATTCGCACAAGATATATGCCCCCTCTCCTTCTAAGTGTAATCTCACAAAAACAAAACTGCAAAATAAATGTAGCCATATTTGCCTCCATTCAGAGGCATCACTTCCTTGTACTATATACTAAGAGAAGTCTCATAATATGTCACTCATTTGCATGTGTGAGTGTTCCTGGAAATAAACTAAAGCAGAAACTGTGTGTGTGTGTGTGTGTGTGTGTGTGTATTGCGCTTAAATGGAACACGAACACCTCTACATCTCTTTACAAATACAAGATACTCGGACAAAATGAAGAAAACTTGAGGAATAATTAATTAGTTATGCGTCAGTTTAAACCCATCTCAGCAAACACGTGCATAAGAAACAAATTAAAGTTACTAGAGGAATACATCCTTAAGCATCAATCTATACACACACACACACACATGGCTTTTGCATGCATATAGTCGCCACAAGAAAGGAAGGCAGAGAGATATAAATACAACCAGCTGATTGGATTTCATGTTGAAAGATTTGCTTGTCTTTAAAAACATATAAAAACATTTTCGCTCGAGGTTATCTCGTACCATATATGGAGAAAGCTGCAAGTGAATAGCCAAAGGCCTCTGATAAAATGATAAAGTATTCTAGCTACTTTCACTTACAAGTCTAGTATGATGCTAACACAGCATCGGTTTATGTTGACTGATACGTTAAATAATGATGGCAATATATACAGAAGCTACTGCTTCAATTGTGTGTTTCACATCCTAGGTATGTCAAGGGAGCTTATTAACCAACACTATTAATAAGGAAAAATAAAAGTACTGCGAAGAGTCCAAATTTATTATATACCTTGAGGATTGGGAGAGGAGGAATATATACCCGACCTCTCAAAGTGGTAGTCTCGATACGCCCCACTAGAATCTCTTGAAAAGGGAAAATGGGGATTGTTCGTTAACCTCTCAGGCACCTATCATGTGTGCCATTGGGTATTTTCCTATGAACAAATGGCCCTCTTGATGAATAGAGGAATTGATTGCCGAAAAAATTCTTCCTTTTTTTCGCCAAAGTGATCACAAAAAGTCCAATAGGGGATGAACCTTACTATATATCCAATCACTAGCAGGGTTGTCGGCCGAATTGATTAAGATAACTTCATATCACTTCATACTGACTATCTGTCTCCGAACTTTCTCTAGTTTGATCACACAATGTTACATCCCATTCCTTTTCCTACTTCTCATTCTGCGATTACCTTTTTTTTTTTTTAGGCACTCTCCTACTGGGTAAGACGAGCTTTTCTAATCTACTTCGCACGTGAAGGTCAAAAAACTAATGACCACTATATCCCATGTACAATCATCTCTCAGATTAAAGGCTGAGTGAAATTATCACTAGATCTTACCACTCACCATTTAACTCGGGTCAAGTGGCAATCCTCAAATAGAAGAAGGAAATTAATGTGATAAATCATACACTAGAGATTCCCATCCAGAAGAAAATTTGCAATTTTGGAAATTACTATTATTCCTAGAGAAATGAGATTAATTAGGACCATAACCAACTGTTTAAGAGGCAGGTTGGAGATTAATTGCATCAACTATTTGCCATTATTAATTTTCGGTTTCTTCCTGCAATGAAATGACAGCACGACTGCAAGAAAAAACATGTCATCAAAACCAACACGAGAAGTTAACAGCAGTCAGCAGTTCGCGTTGATTTTGATAAGCCGAAAAACTTTTCAGTTCGATCTGAAACGAATCATATGTTATCATTAAGCTTGAGAATTCTATCATCGTTTCTCCATGCATATATTAATAAATTTGAAGGTGGAAAGCGTGGGAAGTAAAAGTGAAACTGGCGGAGACAAAGGAAACGGGAAAAGAGAACCAGTTGGGTAGATGGATATGCGTGAAAAACTGAACATCATCATTCAGTTAAGCAGAAGTTGCAAAAATATAATGAGACATGAACGACTATACAAAAATGGCAACAACAAAAAAGGATATGTTAAAGACGCAGAAATCTTAATTAATCTCCACCATGTCCAAATTGACAGAGATGATATTGAAGTACATAGAAGTATATATATAAATAACAATGGCACATATTCTTTCTGTTGCTAGCAAGGATACGAAGGCCAAGCTCCATGCACAGTCAATCTCTTAAACTCCCAATACCATTTTGAGTACCCCCATACACACAAACTAGCAGTCTACTACTATCAAAAGCAGATTCAAACAAGTACTGAAGAAGAAGAAGACGAAAAAGAATTAAGAGAAAGAGAGCAGCAAGAAGCAGCAGAGTATTGGGTTGAATTAAACAAATTAATTTGATTACTGATGATGAGTTGCACCTGGAGGTGGAAACATAGACATTTGTTGCTGCTGATGCTGATGCTGTTGTTGAGGAGGAGGAAGACGCTTTCGCTTCTTCTTTTCGTAGCTAATACCTCTTGCCTTTGACTGCAGATCGCGAACTTCACGCAGGTACAGCCTCACAGCTCGAGCTCCAAACGGGTTAGCTTCTGGCTTCCCTCCATTCTCCTCGAAAGCCGCTCGCAGCCGGCCGATGAGCGCATCCAGACTGCCCCACGCTTGGCGGAGAGGGCACGGGCATGATGCCGGAGGGTTCGGGTGCCCGTAAAATGGACACATCGGTATGTGCACTTTGGTCTTACCAAATTGGTCCAGGTACCTAAAAAAACCACACAATTCAACCGTGACATCCAACACCCCATCACTATTAATTCCTCTAAAACTTCGTATGCATAAAAGAGAGGTTGTATCCAAAAGACGGTACTTATAGCGTATGTATATATTCAAAAGGTTATACCTACCTAAGAAATTCAAGTACGTGTGCACCGCTACATCTGGAGAGGGAGAGCGGGGGACGGTGGTTCTTGAGGTACTGACCGAAGGTATTCCAGTCGCGGCGCTTTTGGTTCTCGTAGCGGCTGCTGCTGCTCGCGGTGGTGGAGGAGGTGGCGGCGCCGGTTGGGGCGGCGATGGTGGTGGTGGGAAGTTTGTTTTCGGAGTGACAAGAAGTGTCCATAAATTGTTGGAGGGAGTCCATAGGAAACTTAAGGGTTTGGGTTTGGAGATCGAAGGTAGTGGTGGGGGGATCGCCTTCTCGTCTCATGGCCTCAATGAAGTTCATATCTATCCGACGTGTTGATCTAGCAGCTAGGTTTCCTGAGTACAGCCACGACACACTCACTGCCTCCAGATCGAGCTGAGAGGTAGAGAGTATGGGGATTCAAAATTAGTATCCGTCTTACAATAACATGTATTCATATTGCTATGTATCTATATACTATAACCTCGTAATTTGGGATGAACACGAAGGTTGCTGCATACAGAGAGAGACCCGCGCGCACACACTTTCAGGAATTACCGTTAATGAATCGACAACCTTGGGAAAAAGAGAGAAAGAGAAAAGAAACATGGGGAGAAAATAAAAGGAGAGATCGGTAATTGATTACATACAATTCTTGGGAGAGACAGAGAAAGGGTTGATGAGTTATGATGTGGAGGAGGAGGAGATCAAGGAAGTGTGATGAGATTGATGGGATCAGAGTGAGTGGACTTCTCCTCTTTATTTTTCTGTTTGCTGCATTACGAGGAAGCTGCTCATCAGCACTTGTGTGGTTCTTTTGGTAGCTTTGATTTCTGAGATCGCCAATGGATTCGATTTTTTCCTTAAAAGGGTGGAGCAAACCCTCCACTCTCACTCATCCATTCTTCTTATTCTTCCTTCTCCTGATAGAGAGAGAAAGACGGGGAAGGCTTAGGGCTTTTTCGTGGGCAGGTTTGAGACCGGAGAAAGAATTGTTTCTTTTTTATTCTTAATATCCCAGCTGGTGTTATTTGTTTTTTTGGGTTGAAAATAGCATATTTTACTCTACTTGTTTGGAGGATAAAAACAAATGTTTGATTATTTAAAGAGATATGAGTGTCGAGAAAAGAAAATGGGTGAGATGCAGAGATATATTTATGCGATGAGCATTTCCCGACAAGAATAAAGGTTGGAGGGTAAAATTAAGGGAGTAACATGATTCTGCTTCCTGACCATGTAGTTTTGAATGACAGTTCCTTTCTCACGGCCCAGAATGTCCCTGTTCATTTCCCCCTCTTTTTTCACTTTTCCCCCTTTAACGAAAAGATCATACTTCAATTACCACACCCAAATTAAATATTTGTCCCCCTCCGTTTCTTTTTCGTTGCTGTTATTATTATTATTATTGAATTTCGCTATCATTTTTTTCTTGCCTTATTTCATTTATAAAACATTTCTGATATATTTTAGTAAAAATAATTAAAACCTTAAATATCGTTAACGTCGCCTTAAAATTTATTAATTCTTTAGCTTTATTTTTATTTAATATACATATATACTTTCTTTGATATGTGTATATATATAAGTAAGACCAGTTAATCATATTAATTATTGCACTTTGACAAACCACTAACAGGTTAAATTTCTTCACATCACAGCACAGTAATATTATGATACTTCCCAAATCACTTCACGTATGAGCATATGTTTACTGTTCTTGACTCGAATGTGAGTGGATCTGATTATTAGATTGATGGCTGATCGGTGACTGATTAATACCGACCCTTCACTTGTAAAATGATTTAATTACCCGCGAAGAAAGGTAAAATCTTGTTATCAATTAATTAATCGTTTATTTCGTACATACAGATTATTAAAGATATATTCTACGCCGAGAGTTGGTGTGGCTTAGACTTTTCCCCATTTTATTCTATTATTTTCAAGGCGATCATATTAAACATTTCGTGATCAGACAACAATTTCAAAAGGCGATCTCACGATAAAGACAAAATTCGAGCACTTCATGTGTGTATAATGAAGTGGGCGTGTCTGTGGGGATACACAAGCATTCTCCCGCATAATGAAAAATGATTATGAGCTTTTGTGCAGGGATCACCAAAATTTATCATTAATTACAGGATCGTGGACAAATTCGGACAGCTTTTGAACTTCAGAATATGATTTTTGGAAAGTCGAAGGTTTATTTAGTTATTTTCATGCAGAGGACAATACTTTAGCCTATGTATATCATATTATAAGCATTCAATATATGTATACAGACAGATCTACCACACATATAATCTACATGTATTTAATACTGGAGCTAGTTAATAATAGCATTTAGTTCTAAATATAAGGTATTACTCCCAATTCTTAATATAAAAAGTAGTTTAATATTTAATTTGGTCATAAACATTAGACGTAAGTCCATATTGTCTCTCATGTTTATTCTTTTTTTTTTTTTGTCAAAACAGTCCCAGTAATAGTTTATATATTAAATGTTTCATCAAATTATAGTTCCAGCTAATAACATGATTAGTAAAGATATTTTAGGAAAGATAACACATATTTATTATAAATAATTAATGAAACAAATTTTTTTAATAAACTCAAATTAGTATATTAGGAATCGGAGATAGCATGAATCGAATTTATTTCTCACGTTTATTATTTTTTTAAACTAATTTATTTTAGAAAAAATTAGTTATATTTATTGTAATTAATTAATTTTTATAATATCTTTTAATAAACCTTACTCGTATTAAAGAGGGGGAGCAGCTTTTTTATCAAAAAACCCGCACGGTACGAATTTAGAGTTCTGCATGGAATTACGGTGGAGGGATGAGTATTCCATTTTCCAGGCCTATTGAAGGAAATTCAGATTTGCAGTGAGAGGGAGGGTGGGTAATAAAATATGTCTGGGGGAAAAAATCTAAGAGCTTCCCCAACTTTCGTGATCAGGCTCCAATGTTAAATGCGCGTGCTTACGCAATTAATATGGGTACGTTTTTTTTATCAATTTAATATTTTTTTAACATGCCAAAACAGAGTACAATTTAAATAATAAATAAAATTAAAACGATGGGGTTAAGGTATGGTAGTTAAAGCCATGTCATATCCGCCTCCCTTTATGCGAGAAGAGGAGGAGTATGATGATGGGGCCTAGGTCTCCTTTTGCTGTTTGGTTCTGATTTTGGTGGAATACAGTTTTTATTTAAAAAAAAAAAGCCATGTCATATGGAAGTGAGATTTTTGCATATATAATTAATAATTGTACGGGCATATATAATTAATAATTGTACGGGAGGGGGAGAGAGAGGGATTGACAAGATGGATTCAGGGGTAGTGCATGAACCCCGATGGAAGGGGAGGCGATTTGAATAATTGATCACCGGAGAAGGAAATTTGCGTGGCCGATTAGCTTCTTTAATTATTGTTGGGTTGTCTGTGACAAGATCTTGTGCTGTCCTCTTCTGCTCCAGCCCCTATCCATCTCATCTGTAAACCATAATATATTAGATTCCATTTATTAAATATAATCATGATTAATTTCCAATAGGACATCGCATCCCTGCTTAACCCACGACACTTCCCATTGATTGGCCTTGATTAATTACCCTCTGCTCCCATTCAAATCTTATCACTGTTTATTATGTGTCCTACGTCTTCATATTGAATATAAAATTATGCATAGGGACACCTCATTTTTCGTGCCATATCTTATATATATCGTACCCAGCTAGCAAAGGCCCTCTAATTGCAGCTAGCCAACTATATACATGGACCGTTCTACTCAAAGCATAGAATCTAACGCATGTTTTGAGCTTTCAGTCTAGTAGCCAATCCGTGCTTCTTTCTTTTTTTAAAAAAAAAAATATATAAAAAAATTTAAATGAGTTGAGTTTAAAATCGATTAAAATTAGAATAAGCATACAGCTCAAAAAGAGACGAGCAGCCTCTCTACTCACAAAACCAGTTCCTGCTCAGAATGCAAGCATATTTGATGTAATCCTTGGGTTTCTTTCACTCCCTCCATAAATACACGGCATGTGTGTAGAGTGTTTTTTGCGTGTGCAAAATTAATATGTAGAGAAATTTGTTTCGTTTTATTAAAAAAATACTTCTAACAAACATTTTTCAGTGTTTCCAAACATTTTTTACATAATATCTCTCTAACCATTTAACAGAATGAGAAATAGATAATTTATTCATGGAAGATAATTAATTCATTAAATTTGATTGAAAATAAAAAATTCTAACTCACAATATATAAAGAGAATCCATATTTCAGCAAAGCAAGGTGTTTTGACGCCCCACTCTATTCGTTACTGTTGTTGAATTGTGACTCAATTAGTATAAAAATGGGCATACCTGTGCCTACCTATGCGCGGGCAGACAGCGACGGTTCATAAATGCTGATCAGTAACTATTAGGTGCGAAACTTTAATTAATCAGGGATAAATGTGTGATTGAAAATATACTTTTTGTGAAAAATAAAATATAGTTTAGAGTTTTTATGTTTATTTGTGTCAGTGCTTTGGATTTTTTTTTTTAAAACTAGATCGTCGGGATTGACGAATAACATTCTTAGCAAAATTTAATTATGATTCATGAAATACTGGTTAAATATATAAGAAAATTTTTATATTAATTTATGAGTAAATATAATTTTTGATCTCTTAACTTTATTTTTATTTTGATTTTAGTGTATCAAGCTTTACATTATAAATTTTGATCCGTCAAAAGTAAAATAGTCCATATTTTTATTAGATTATAAAAACTAATATTTTAAATAAAATAAAATTTATAGTTTGAAATTTGAGAAATTAAAACCAAAATAAAAATAAATTTAAGAGACTAAAAATTATATTAATTTAAAATTTATTTATAAATACTTATTATGATTATATAAAGAGAGCTCCACAGTTGAGAATTCACACAGGTGGGTCCAAGTATTGTTTTATTTGTTTGGTTGCGAAGAGTCTGAGAAGGCCATCAAATCAATGCGTGGATCTAGACAGGCAGAGAAGGCCCTCTCCCGTCCATCACCCACCAGCTATCTGTGCATCTGGGTGCCCAACGGGCAAAATCAGAAAACCCGCACACAAAGCCTAATTATTCCTTTCTTTTTTTTTATTTATAAATATGACCATTTTTTTAACGTGTCAATGCAAATTATACTATAAATTAGGACCGAATTGTAATAGAAAAATATTAAAAAAAGAAAAGGCTTGATATGCCAGTGGTGGTCATGTAAAATAAATCAAAGTATCAGCGAGAGAAGTCGGATGGGTCCGTTTTGTAACTTGCGGATCGAGGCAGTTCTGGGCGGGCAGCCATATAATCCTGCCCGCATTTTCCTGACCTGACCTGCCATATCTCCGCATAATTACATAATTATATGTCCAAGTCCAACTCCAAGTTGTACGACTAACTCACAATCACATACTACCTTTTTGTTTTTAGTATAAGATTATGTTTGATTTTTATTTTGATTCTAAATATAAGACTCTAATTCACTTTATCTCTAATATTTATATATATTTTTTCAAAGTAGCCTTTCTAACAATGATAGTTCTAGTCAATACACTTGATTAGTAAGGATATTTTAGGAAAGACAACACTTATTTAGGACAGATAACT